ACCCGTTCCAAAGCGCGAGAATCGAAGTCAGCTGCAAACGATACCAACACATTCGTCCTGACGACATGGTCCAACAGATTTTTGTTCACCAGGACGGACATGGTCCAACGTCGATGGTCCGACGTGCACCGCCGATGGTCACTGGACGGGAACTGCCGATGGTCACTGGGAGGAGCTCGGTGTCTCGAATGCAGGTCTCCATGTGGTCATGATCACAAACACATGTTTACATCACTCTCGTGACCCCTATCATCATTATCATATCAGATCATATTCAGGTCATGTCCATCAACGGCGATTTACCACATGTGTGCGTTCGCCGAGCTCGCCGAGTGGCATGACCACGTCTTTCTCCAGTGCCGGAGTTGGGACTCGCCCAGAGGCGCTCGAGTACCGGAGGTTCCAATAAATGATCCTCAGCCACAGTCGTGCAGTGGCTCTGAGCATCTCCAGAAATCATGTCCATCTGCAGCAAAAGGGTGTTGAGATCTGGAATCTTCCTTTGAGATGAATCTGCAAATGAGATCTCAACATTCTCTTTGGAGATATTGAAATATATGGAATTCTTCTGGAATGCGGATATTCTTGAGTCCGAAATGGGGGTTCACCCTGCACCTGGCAACTCACCAAGAGATCACTCCATAACTCCACCAACGAGCAACAATTCTTGGGCTGCATACCTGTTCAGCAAGTTCACCCAAGTGGTGGATGCGGACTTCGAGCTTCCGTCTAAAAAGACACAAACACATGTATACTCTCCCACAAACTAACATGGAACCTCAGAATTGACCGATGGTTTCGACCATTTTCCTCTACAACCCAGTGGTTTGGGGTTCCATGTTAATCTGCTGGGGAGAATTAATAAGATCGGTGGCTTATCGTGGCCTGCTGGAGCACCCCCCTACCTGTGTGTAACAGACTCGCTCACTTGCCCCAAATCCAAGCTGGGCACCTGCCTCGCCGGCGATTCAGAATGCCAGCAAGACGTATTTAGACACTACACAAAGCTTCACCTATTTCGGCAAACATTTGTCTCTCATTTAAAGCCTCCTCACGGACTAGTGACTTAGTTGATTTCAAACGGTACCCGATTTACGAAGATTGAACTGAACTGTTTTAACGCTTTCTCTCTCACACAAAAACATACAAGCTGCTTGTAGGTCAAATTGTGGTCTTGGGACACTAGTTTCAGGGATGTTGTTCCACCAAACCAAGTTTGTCTCACTGACTGACTTGTCTTCCTGAGTTACCTCATGACAGAAGGACCGCTAACAACAATCTAAAAAGTACATGAACTCCCTCGAACACATCTCCACCTCTACCATCGAAATCGACCAAGCCCCGTTCATGGAGACTCTGAATAGGATCTATCATGATCTACTGGAGCCCAATGTGAAAAGCCAAATCTTTTGGACCTCCTGCAAACAACGTTCACACCTCCCCAAAACAAACGTAGCACCCACCAAACGAGACATCTCACATTCCGTCTCTTGGTCCAAAGGTCTCAGACTTGCGCCCCGGGTTTCATTCGTCGTGAGCGCGTCGAAAACGGACGAGAGGTGCGAAAACCAGGGGCGAAACGAAAACCAGGTGATCCATGGTGATCCTGATTCACACGGTTCTAATCAGTTCGACGATTTTTTGCTGCGTTTTTTGATTGGTCCGAGGTTCTTTGGCACGTACTCGCCATAGCCTGCTGTCCTGGCGCTTCTCATCGGTTCTCCGAATTCACTGACCAGTTCGGTGCCGGTGAAGGCACAAACCAAGTGGATGGTCTTGAGAGCATTTGGGGGGAAGTAGATGGAGACATGATCGCATGGAGAGTGTTCACCTGTTTTGAGACATGCTTGCTTGCACATGCACGTCTCAAGAAGTGTTTGTTCAAATAAAAGCCCTCGAAACACACTGGGTGTTGACTTCGGGTCTGAACTAGGGGCAGTTTCGGGCAGTTCCTTCCTTTTGAGACGAGGCCCATTTTACCAGTAGCATCTTCGCCAGTATCTTCGCCCTTACTTTGGCCCCCCTTCTGCCAGCTTCTGCCGGTTTGATTCCCCAGCTTCAAGGCCTAACAAAGCTCACCATCAGGCCATTTACATAGCTGTCCTGCCTTCCCCCAAACATGTTCTACACGACACCGGATGACATGGCAAGGGACCAGCTCAGCACCGCAAGCGGATGTGTTCAACAACTGCTCCAACCTCGTGTTTGATCTCACGGGCCCTGCCCGGATGAAGATCTCCAACTCATACATATTAAGGCAGAAACAGGTCTGTTGCCTTGTGACAAAGACATGTCCCGCCATGGTCGTCCCTCCATGTCTCCCCACAAAGAGTGACATGTACCAAATGAATAGAGAAATCATGAGACATCTCATGCCCTCACAATCAAAAGTGTTCTATCAATGGCCTCGGAACTCTTGGTCTTCTGCCCTGTCTGCCCTGGCCGGTCGGACTCCGCCTGAATTTGGTCTTGATCTTCTCATGGGTGGTGGCCCAAGGATCCATAGAACTGATGGACTCATCGAACTGCATGTCTGAAAACACCACCAGCAGCTCCGGCCTCGAACAGCGGTGCGACGAATTACATGGAAACGGCCATATCATGCCTGCTCGTCCCCCATGGATGTCTGATGATTTCATAGTTTGGGGTAGGACTTTGTCATACTTTGTCAGTTGCCTGTAGCGGATGCGGCTGAGAAAACAAGTCCACGAACAACAGGAAAGCTGGCCCCTCTTCACCCAGGGAAAAAAACACATAGAAAAAACATAGAAAAACACTTGTGTCAAAACCCATCACACCTGTGACAAGTATGACATAGTATGATACTTGGGACGTCATGGACCTTTCAGTACCAGGGTTCACTCTGAAAAATCAACTTTTCGGAGTTTGTTTCCCACTATCATATACAATATGACTGATATGACTGTTCATATTTTGTATATCTCTTTCATTCTCATTCTAGCTAGTGTCAACCCTCAAAAGGACTCCAGAAAGATTAGTTGTGTGAAGCGGTCAGCGGTCTTGATGCGTGTCCCTACAAGCCTCTGAGACGTCTGAGAGCTGACCCACGGCGCAGGCTCTCCCGGAGGGACCGTTGGCCCTTGACTGGTCGGACTTTCCAAGCACGTATGATATCCAACCAAAACAAACTCCGGAAAATCGACGGTGACGGGACAAGGGCCCCTATCTGTGGGACCCATCATGACCTTATTATATGTGTATATATATATATACAGCACACTTATTGAACGCATGTGTGTATGTGTGTATGTGTGTCTGTGTGTCTGTGTGTCTGTCTGTCTGTAATGTAATGTAATGTAACGTAATGTAAGTATGTATGTATGTATTGCAAATGTTCAGCTTCATCACGTCCAAACGCCCCCTAGGTGTCCCAGATCCGACCCCAGGTGTGGGCCCAGCGGCAATTGGTCCCCGGGAACTTGGTTCTGAACAGCAATGTCCAAGATCCGCTCAAAGACCTTCCTCGGCGAGGGCGAGATCTCGTCCACGAAAGGGTCCCCAAAATTAAGCAGACGTCGGCATCGGTGGGGGGGGGCGTCTCCTTCGTGTTCGTCGTTTGGCGCAAAACGTGTTGTTCTTCCAACCAGGCTGTGTGTGAAGGGCCTGATCAATGTCCACTGACACACACAAACTTTCAAAGGAGTTGAACACCCAGGCAGCCAACAAAGTACGAGTACATTAAAGAAGTTAATTGAACATAGGCTTCGAGTAAATAAGTAATATAAACACAGTGAAACCATGTGGAACCACTAGGCCACTCTCAACCATCGTAACTTGTCGCCTGTTTTCTGCTGGGTTCTCCTAAGAGCGCCATTTGGGTCTTCGGACATCACAATCTCTCTCCAAGAGTGTTGCTTGCCACAAGCACATTCCGTGGATTCAATCCATCATGATCCAAGTATGAGCTTCTTGAATCTCAAACCGGGTGGAACAACATGTCCCTCGACATTCTCGAATCCTTTGGTCAAGCAACAGTGCAGAGTCTAGTACCAGTAATCAGCAAAGCATCTCAAAGTTTGTATTCATCCCCCAGTGCATCCCCAGGACCTGTGCCGCCCTTTCCTTGGCCGGAGGAAGTCCGAGAAAACTCTGGAGAAGCTTCATTGGAGGATGGAACGCCCCCCCACCAAAATTTGTGATTCAAGACCGCAAGAGATAAGACTCAAGGGCAAACCCAAGGTGGAGACAGCTAACAAAGCTCGTCCACAAATGATAGCCATGGCAATTACAGATTCGGAATGGACGAAACAAAAACACCACCTGAAGGGTCAGGTCCCAAGTCATCCCAAGTCCTTTCTCAACTTTGGTGAGGTTAATATCAACATGGTTAACACGTAAATGAATTGACCGTGACTTAGTGACCGTACAGCATCCATGATGGACTCAAATCACCTCAAAGACCCATCAAAACGAAGTCTTGTCATGCGGCCTGCCACCCCATCCTCAACAAAAACCTGTTCTTCAACAGCAGCGACATATGCGAATCTGAATTTGTGACAGCGAATCACACATAATGTCATCATGTGAATCATGTGATGTCATGTCCATACCCTTGATGATATGGACGAATTAGTGTTTGCCCGTACCACCAACCTTTAGACTCCCCCAGCTTGTCCTAAGACCACTTGTCGCAATGTGCTTGAAGTTTCCGAAAGTGCAAGCTTACTCGCGCCCCTGATCTTCTTAAACCTTGGTGATCCTCACTCAAGTGAGGTGGGGCTGCTGATCATACATGTTACATATTGTTACATCATGTTACATAGTCCGCAACAATCGCAAGAATAGTGTGTGATACCGCACGAACCTGCAGAGCTTGATCTACAATATTCTGGAATTAGTCAACCACCTTCTCCAAACCAAACCAAATGCTTCACAGTCCTGCTCCAGATCCTTGAAACTGCACCTTCAGCTTTAGGAACTGCCAAGTGGCTGCCAAGTTCGTGGTGTCCGGATCAGGTAGTGACACGAAGTAGGGATCAGCTGAGAAGCTGCAAACGCGCTGCCCTTAGAGTCAAGCGCACGTTGGGGAGAAAGCGCGGGCTCTCTGACAGGTCCGATGCGTGATCGAAAGACCTGACTCGTCAGCCAAGAGAGGTGGTCCCTTCGCGATCGAAACGTAGAAGTGGAACACGTTCCTATTGTCCTGTGCACAGCTTTTTTGGGACCGGCACATTGACCAAGAAGAGGTCGCCGGGGTGGTTTTTCTCCTATAGGTCGATGTCAGTCAATCTGCCAGTCCCAAAAAACCCATTGTGTAGTTCACATGCAAAACATGAACCACCACGCAAGGTGACATGGACATCTCCATTCTCCGTTCTCCGGTCATCGAAAGCACGGTCCACTTCCACCGTACTTCGCTCGGTCCGCTCCGCGCTTCGCGGCGAAGAGAAGGTTGACCACGGAGCGACACGGAACCTCCTAAGGACCTGCGAGGAAAGCAGCCACAAATGCCGCGATGGGCTTCGTCTTCTCTTGGATTCTTTTAAGCATGTGTGGAGACGCCGTTGGGAGGTGTCAGCCGTGCCGCCGCCCGACTCCGGGATTTACAACACGTGGATGAACAGCGAACATGGTGGGCGACCGTCGGAGATTCGGAGTGACTCCGAATGGACTCTCCAGTGAGTAGAGGGGAGACTGCAAAAGAAGGGTAGATCCGAGATCGATGTTCCGCAGGTCTGTCTCTTTTCATTATTTAGAAAAGGCCGGACGAAGAAGATCCATGGCCAAATGCTGGCGGAGAGTGACCGTGGAATACCTGAACAATACATGAACATCATGGAACGTCTATAACATTCTATAGCCATAGCCGACCTACCAGCATGACCAGGACGACCACACCACCACCCCCGAGGACGTCGTCGCCATGTCGGCATGCAGTCCCCGCCATGTCGGCATGCGGCTCCAGGGATCCTGCGTGACCTCGCTGATCAGCAAGGATAAAGCAACGGCCACATCCATGGGTTGCCCCCACCTGTTCAGTGTGGGTGGCTGTCCACCCAGGGGCCCTGGTAGGCGCGCGGCGATTTCGCCGAAGGGAGGGGAAGGATAGGCCGGCGCCGATGGGAGCTTGTTGGATCAAACGGGAAGATTGGAGGATTTTCAGGTGAATGCCCTGCAGCAACTAGTAGTAAGGCCAGCAGCCCCTAGTAGCGTCCTGCCCACTCCATATATAGAAACCAAAGTCTCGTTTGGATCCAGGCATCTGGGGGCCTCGGGGGTCCGGCCTGTTGGGATGACAGTCACTCAAACGGATCGGGACAGGGACCTCTCCACCAATTCTGGGTGAAGTCCCAATGAAACAACATCTTTATCCCGATTGGCATTGGCATTCCATCCAGAATTGGTGAATTCATTATATATGTCCCCTTTGGTTTTCTTCTTGGCAAGGCCATGCCACGTTCGATTCTGGACTATTCTATGTGGGGTTTGCTGAACGATGCTCTGCTCTTGTAGCTGCATGGTTGCCCGCTCCGAACAATCTGAATTCATACAGTTGTCAAATGTTGTCAGTATATACTCGTAGTGCAGTTGACCACAAGGTCAGCTGTGGGAGTGTTGTGGGCTTTAGGCACACCCAACACATTGTGTGTGTGCATTGATCCGCAATATTGCCACATGCGCTGCACAGCAAATTCTTCTAGTCTTTTCGTGCAACGTGTTCACCAAGAAGACAACTCTGTTTTGTTCTTGACCATGACCACTTGCAGTGACCAAACACTGTCCCGCAGAGGCCGCTAAAAGCGGTCTCCAAGGTCCTCCTTTTCTCCGAACCGTCACCGGTCACCGGTCACCGTCCTCACCAAGCGTCATGGACCCGGAGGTGTCGCACACGGCCAGGGCCCGGCCCAACACCCCAGCGGCCTCGGTCGAAAGCGACCGGTGTGGCGACCGATCCGAACCAGTCCGAGTTGAGCATGCGCCCGCCCCAGCGCTGTTTCTTCTGGAAACTGCTGTTGTTTGTGTTTTTTTTGTGGGGGCTCGTCAGCTCCAAGCGATGAAAGAAGACCTTGGAGATGATCATCCATCGCGGTCTCATCCCCCAATGAATTTTGTTCATACACCAAGGAGAAGGGAGATGTCGCCCAAGTTTGGCCGCATGACGCATGGCCCTTTTCCAACAGTGCCTTGTTTCACCTCGTGAAACCACTCGAAACCACCAGGAGAAGCCGCCAGGAGAAGCCGTGGCTCGCGCGAACGAGACGGAGAGCCCTAAGTGCGTTGGCACTGGCGTTCAGCTCAGAATCAAACCATAACCACCAACTAAGGTCCGGGTGTTTTGGTTTTCTGCCGCCAAAGGGCTTTGACCTCTGAGACCAGGTCCTTCCATTGAGCTTCAGCTTGTATGGTCTGCAGTTCAGATTTGGCATCCCGAGATTGACTCACCAGCTCATCTGGCATCACATTACCTCAGCATGTCCAGGCCTCTTTACATGCATGACAAAGATGCAACACTCTGCTGTCTTTGCCAACACTGGGACATTACCGTGGTCAACTCGGGAGTCTGAAAGCCAACACAATTCAAGCCGGATGCATTGATTGCCTTGACCATTCACTCTACACGTCGGATACCCAACCGTATGTTGGAACAGTTTCTCGAAAAACATGTCGAAGAAGCCCCCAAAAGAAAAGAAAGACAGGCGTGCATTTGAATGGCTCCTCTGCTCCTCTGTCAGAGTTTGGTGGACTCTTGGGGGAAAAAAATCTTCTGAAACCAAAGCCAGAACCAAACATCCTCTACCCCCAAACTTCACTAACACAGACGATGAGGTTTACCCGTGAAAAAAGACATAGTTCTTCCATCACCCGAAGAAGGTGTTGGTTTTCCGATCTGCAGCGGAGTACTGTAATGCCTTCAGTACTGTAACCCGTTGACGAGTACGGCCGCGATATCTCGAGTTCGATGTCTTCGCGCCACGGCGCCACGCGAGCGAGTTCGCCGTTCGATCCGCGGCGTGTCGGCCACTCCAAGCAGCCCTTCACGTGAGCCGTACCCTCCAGGGCGGCTTTGAGGTGTGCCTCATAGGTCTCATCGTTCTGCGCATAGACGCTCCTTAACCGGTGGAAAACACTCTGAGAGGTGCAAACCCCAGGTGCTTCCGATGTTTCTTTTTTTAAAGAGGACGCAGGATGAACAGGTGGGTTCAAAGACTGGTTCAAAGCAACTGCTTCGCCGGAAGTTCATCGAACCAGCGGACTGGACCTGTGGAGAATCGAACTGACGAAGTGTGAAGTCTGGATGAAGTGGCGGAGCGATGAGCAAATCTGAAGAGTGATCCCATTGGTTGAAGATTAAACTAAGATAAAGTATCCTACATAAGTCTCATTAGTTCTTAGAAAAGTATGTGCTAGTTATAACTGCTAGTTGTTGCTGTTGTTTTTTCACGCGGGTGCAACGCATGATAACCATAGAAAACCCGTAGCGGGGATCTCGTAGTGGGGCCTGATGTGATCAAGCTTCGCTTCCCTGATCAACATGTTCATGCGGGCGAACGCTGCAGCCTGCCCGAAACACGGAATTTCCATCGCCGTCTGACATGTATATATAATTTCTACATCACTGTTTGCAAACATCTACAGGGTTGGTTGGTTAGCTGGCTGGCTGGTCGATGAGTCGGTCAGAACACGTCCAGGGCAAACGAGCCAAGTCTTTGAGAACTAGGCAAGTGCCGCAGCACAAGCCCCCCGCAGCCGGCAGCCATGTCAAGCTAACACCATGCTGGTGCTGGAACTCTTTAGGCATTGCATCGGCACAGAACTGTTTTGAGCAATGCTAACAGCCGTATGTTCATCTCTATAAGCCTTGCCACCAGAATGCCTAAATGATCTCATCTCTTTTTCCACTGTTCCCCATTGAATCAACAATATGGGGCCTTCCAAGTGAGGTGGCACACTCTGAAAAATTCGCCACCCTATAAACCGATGTCCTCATCCCTTTCCGGAGGCACACGAGAAACATCCCAATTGGGGAAAGCTGCTTTGCCCAGTGAGTGAACAGTAAACTGTGAACCACCGGTGGAACGAAAGCACCAGGACCAGCATCAGCCTGGACTCTGTCCATATAGAAGTCGGCATCGTGCTGACATCCGGTTGTAGTTGATCTTCTCCCACTCTTGAGCACCAATGAAGGATTCCGGCAGCTCAATGTGCCTCCGCAGTGGTGAAAGGACTTCTTTCCGGTACTTGTCCTGCCGCGAGCGAAACAGACCGGCGCGAGGGTTTACCCTTGGGTCAACAGCGCCTTTCAACTCAGCGCATCTGCAGTGAAGAACCGACTGTTCTCCTGGTCCTCTTCCCTTGGAGCTTTTGCTGCCTTTAAAAGGTTGAGAATCTGACATGATTCTCGCTTGCGGGTAGCCCTCCCTTCTCATCATTTCAGAACCTGTCTTGCAATTTCATGCAATGTCCATGTTCGCATGCTAGGTCTTGTTCAGCAAAAACCTAGAAGCAAAAATATAGGGGTTGATTGGACCACAATAAAGTAATAAGTGTCAGTGTGTATGTATATGAAACCCATCCAATATTCAGTCAGGGAGATCCCCAAAGCCATAAAACGGGCAAATTCACTGCATGTGGCTCTACCTACAACCCAAACTCAAACCATGTATGGATGGGTCCTATGTCTGACTTGGCACAAACAATGCTCAGAAAGGCAAGGACATATGACATATGTTGTCTCCTTCATGAAGGAGATGTAGTGCTCATACCTAGGCCGTGCTTCGCTTTTGCATCTGCAAGAATACCAAGCAATGGCAATCCTTCTTGGATGGTGCTTGGACAACATGAAATCAAACTTGGTTTACCCACTTTGGACTGAAAGCCACCGTGCGAGATCTACTGTCAGGCGGACAACTGGATTGAAGATCACTTGAAGTCGCCATTTCTGGCATGTTCGGCATGTCCCAATCTATTACAGTGGAGTGGAAGCTCATGAAGACCTATCCAGAAGCCATAGGATCGCATGTCCCATTTGGCTGTGACTTGGCCGACTGAGCTTGACCGACCGGAACGACCACGCCCCTTGGGCTCCCGGTGGAATTGGCTGAGCTGTTCTCTTCCGAACACACAGCAGCACACATGAAAAAACAAAAAGGATATGGTGTGTGAACATTTAACCGTTACAAATCAACTGAACACACACACACACCTACGATCACGTACCGTTACTTTGAAGTACGCCAGCAATCGCCAGCATCTGTTCCCAAACGAGCGTTGTTACTCACAGTGTCCTTATGACCATGTCCTTACTAAATATGAACACAGGTTTTGAACGATGCTCAAACAGCCACCTTTTTGGAGAGGGCCTTTCTGATTGCACTCGACAAAGGGTTGCCCCGTTTGCCCTCGGGCCGCTTTGGGTCATCCATCATTGCCGCCTTTGGGTCGTGATCACGAAGACCAACCTTCTGCCAGATTGTTTAACACTAACGATCGGACGGGGTATCGAACAAGTAGCCAGGGTCGAAGAAACATTTAAGAAACCCTTAATATGGTAGCACATGGTATATACATATAGCATCATATAGCATATTGTACAATTCAAGCATTTCATCATTCCATCGTCGTCCGGAATGGGGGTAGCACATGGTAGCACATAGTATGGCATCGTTGTTAAATGTCCATCGTCGTCCGGAAATGGGGGTCAATCTCAATCTCACCACGGGCAGCCCTTCATAACTTGGTCATGGGGGGCCTCGCATGGTCATGGAAGGTCATGGATCAACCATCCAAATTGATCCAACATGATCCAAGCCCCATGGATCCGTACCATCCAAATGGATCGCCTATCGCCTGGATGGGCACTACGGCACGTTGGTGACCCAGCCCAGCGACGTGCCGAGCTGGAACTCCTCAGCAGGGAAGATCCGTTCCACCAGACCTGGCGAGTTACTCCCGTTCCGTTCGCCGTTCCAACCGAGCCAACGGTGACGAGAAAACAGCGGCCTTCCGATCCGATCCGAGCCAACGGAGGCCAGGTGTATTCCGGCCTTGAACTTAAGACTTAAAGCAGTTTTTGAAGTTAATTCATGTTAATTCATGTCACTTACGTGACATGTTTTAAGAGAACATGTTTTAAACAAAATCCACCAATCGAATCAGTGGCTTTGTCATGGGCCCCACCGGGAATCGGTAAAGCAAACCTCTTTGGTTTGCCGCAAGACTTCTCATGGGACATGATGGGACTTGCATGGATCCGTCTTGGAACCGCGCAAGACTTCGAAAAACACATTCTTCGGTGACTCAAGTCGGTTTGGTTCAACGTCCATGGGGCGGTTTGACCTGTTGGGACCTGTTGGACGTTTCTTCTCAACACCTGGGGCGCGCCCCAAACCTTCGGCGCGTCGCGAAACGACCTTCGGTCGCGACCTGAAGGGTGACGAACCCGGGAGTTGAAAGACTCATGCTGCGGTCGAACTCCTGCTGGGGCAGGCAAATGGATGCGGACGCAGCTTCTTCTTGGACGTTTCGGCACACCATGTCGCTCGCTGGTCGCTCGCTACACCCCAGTCAGCAGGGGTTCCCTGACCCGCCTCGCACGATGTCGGTCTTCTTGTCATGCATCCCATTGCTTGTAGGTGCCCATTTGGGATACAAACTCCCTGTCAGCTTCAAGCGTTCATCCCCTCAGCTGTGCTCGGCCAAAACGGCAAAATTGCCCGCGTATTGGTTTTCGGGTGAAAACGGACCAGAGTTCTCCCAGGACCCACGCCTGGAGCCCCCCCCACGTGTTCTTTGTTTGGAAGATCATGTTCCACCCACACTGCGCCACCGCCCTCCGCACACCTTACCACTACCTCTTGACTTTCAGCTAATGATTGGGCAATAACAAATATGTAGAAACATACAACACAAAAACAACAGAAAAGCGATGCAAGTAGAAACGGATAATGCATACAGACTTACAAAGACGCATTAGGCCTTGTCAAACAAATGGACCACTGAAATGAATTACAGCTATAGGCGGTAGCTTCTTAAAAGGGACACATGCTCACCAGCTCAGCTTGCACTTTGGATCACTTTGGCCAAATTTCCGCTGGATGACAACACAGCAGGCCTGCTTGTCTTCTCTTCATGACTTTCAGATTCTGGGAGGATCGAGAAATCAACATGGAACAGGATGGAATAGGGAGCTCCATTCAGAGCTGTCCAATAAATCTTCATTCAAAGGTTTTCCTGGGTCTAGCACGGTCTACCAGTTTACCAAAGTGTCCAAGTTGGATGCGTCCGAGCCCCTTGGCTAAACTTCATTACAACTGCTTCATCTCAAGGGTCCTTCTGCGTTGGTGAACGCAGATAATGATAAGGAATTTTATCGGAAAAACGACTTTGCAGAGCCAAAAAGATTACAGTAATATCCTGCAAACTGTTCCATGTGTTTGATCCAACCAAATCAGCTGTCGGTTTGTTAAAAATGTTGAAGCAAATCTCACAAAAAGGACGCGAAGACCCTGCTGTTCGGGAAGCACGCGGGGTTTATGATTTCAGGGCTGCCCTTATGATTGAAACACAGTTCGTTAGATTGGTCATGTATGCAAGTCTCATCAGGGATGAAAAAACAAGCTGAAAGCTTGCCAAGACTCTGGAGAGGTCACTTCCAGAGAGATACTTCTCTCTGATTTGCATCAACTCCTTGAGGGCTTCGGCGAAAACATCTGCGACAGTGTCGTAGAGTTCTTTGAGCTCCGGCTTGGAGGAATACCTGGAGGTCACGGGCAGGCGAGGGCCAAGTAGGTCTGTGCGGCTTGGAGGCATGTCAGGCTCCGCAAAAGACTGGACGAAGAGGCGGCAACTGGACATTTCCCGGATCCAAAGTGGATGCATTCTGGGGAGGTTGTCTGGCCCGGGCAACGCTGTTGCATGGTAGCATGTGTCTGGGAGTTTCCACACCCGACACCGTCACGACATGATGTTAGCACGGTGTCCTTGGCCATTTTACGCCATGTTCATGCTTGCCCCACCAAAGGGATGACCCCGAGATGTCGTACTGCAGTCAAAGAGGCTTCTCACCGACATCTGCCAGCCGCCGCGCGTGACTTTTCTTGACCTCCTGGTGAATCTTCTCATTCTTTGCGTGGTCCACCTGGCTTTTTCAATGATTGGGTCCTTTGTTATGGGTGTAACATGGTGTAACCTTTACTGGTTTAGTGAGAATTATCCCTTCAAAACCAAAACCACATGTCAAACAATTACAAAAGGGCCAAAGAGTACACCTGAGGATCTACCTGAGGATGACAGTTGCTGTTCTACGAAAATGGCCTGGCCGGCCGTCTGCATGGCCTGACAGCTTCGAAAAGCTGTTGGATTTTGAAAAGGAGAGTGTCACCTGCTGAAATTCCAGACCGCCGCCACCTCTTCACAGAACTTCACGAAGCGCGCTTTGATCTCATCCGATGTCCACTCCTGGGGACGAGGCGTTGGTGTCTGAAAAGCCCATGAGGAGAGCAGTTCTGGGGCATCCATCGATGTATGTAGATCTGCAGCTTTGTTGTCTTTTGGTATTGATATCTCGAAGGCCATTCCTTCAAGTAATCCAACACCCTTGGAGCTTTCTTAGCTGCTGGGCACCTGCAACTGGGGGCGTTTTGTTCTAGGGGTTGCATGGTCAGCACGGAGGGCTCTGGCTCCAAAGCGTGGATTTCCACGGGCTCCTTGAGCTACACCAGTGGACAAATCAACTGTTTGCCAGACTTCATGGGCCGCGAGTTCAGTGAAACTGATGGAAATGTGACCCTCACCGGCATGTTCCCAGAAGGTGAGGTTTCCTTGCTTTAGAGTCCAACACCAACCAACCTATGGCCTTTTCCTGGGTTCTAAGAATGTATATGAATGTACTGTAGATTGAAACAAACAGCCGAGCAAGTCAAACCATTCAAAACCCCGTTGATCCCTCCCCATCCTTCACGGATTCGTTTTACCGGTCTGGCAAAAGGTGGTCCCCGGTCCCTCACACTGTCGGTGGGCATAAGCCCCCCAGCATATTTAGAGATGTTGGGGTATCATGGACAAGTATCAACCTATAGTGAACATTCTATCCTTCTGTCCTCAGTATTCTTTAATATGTTATACCATAAGACACTTCCACTGTGATCACGGTGACTCCCCAAGCAGCTTGGTCTCCTCCTTCTCCATCCACGGCATCCTTTGGGGCAAAGAGGCATCCCGGAACAGCCGCGTGCGTCGGATCTGCGACGGCCTGAGAGGGAGCGCGCCGGAGGCGCTCAAAGGGTAGAGATGTGGAGCCAATTGGCCGCAGTGGAGGATGGGGGGGTAAAAAAACCCTTAGATCTGCCGGTCGCACGATCATCATATTATTTGACCAACTGCTATACTGGTTTTCTGGGACACACCCTTAGATCCCCCAGAGGTTGGGGGGTCCTACTAATAGGTCCCCCAACTAGGGTGAAGCATCAGCTGAACACCACCCAACACGCGTTTAAACCAAAAAAACTAAACTGACGGCTTTCCCCTGGGTGTTCTTGGAAAGAAAGGGATGGGATATGATGGGATGAACATCGCGGCTTGTCGTCCTATTCGCAAAACTTTGCGGGTCGTCGGGCCGTGCTGTTTTGAAGCCCAACCAAGGGACCATCACTGCAGAACCTGCGAAGCCTGAGGAAACCCTTTTCCATTCCAATTACCCTCCCAGAAGGAGCACCACAGCTTGCACCAATCCAGCGGTGATGATTCAGCCAGGAAATGACCATGGCTGGGTGAGGTCACTGACAACCCAAAAGCACTGTACCAATCCACATCGTGCGAACCAAAAAGCTGTTGTGGAAACCCGTGCAAGGCCGATCAACACCGTATCATGAAGGGAATAGTGGTAAAGTGGTAAACGATGCACCACTATTAGGTTGCAGTTCCAGAGTTCCAGTGCAGCTAGGTTCCGCAATATGCAGCGCAGCTTTAGTAGCCAGCATATGGCAGCATTGGTCCATGAAATCAGTTCAAACCGCAATCTTGGCAGGTGTCTGTGTAAGCAACTTGGTAAGGGACCAATCCCCACCAGTGAAATATGGTGGAATCAGCATATCACAGGTTATCATAGATTCACCCCAATCCGATCTGATCCTGATCTCTTGAATTTAGAATTTGGAAGAGTTCTCCTCAGGAACACCTCAATTTAACCATCTGCACTCCCAGAAAGGCAACGCTCTAGCACTCAATCCACTTGTTTCTAAATCATCCCCTAACAGGGCACATGGCCATATAATTATTCCCGTCCCACATCTGTACCTACTTGCTCATCCCAACAAACCCTCAAAGAGCAGACCCCCTCAGACCCTTGCATCTCTTTGGCCCCCCTCCCTGCTCAAAGACAAAATAATGATCAAACAACACAAGATCAAAGGCCGGCAGAAAAAGGAGCCGGAACCTCAAGCCCAAATCCCATGGTGTTTCCATCATATTCCCATGGTATTTCCAACCAAAAAGCTCCAGACCTTCCTCCTCCAAGATCTTGCGAAAGGCTTCGATCCGCTCCACACGCTCCGCAGCTTGCCGCCCTCGCAGCTCGGCACGTTGCCTGAATTGCGGCACGGTGCTGGCTCGACCTCCCGTCGAGGTCGGTCTCCCAGTCTCCCTATACACCAGCATGGTAGGGATAGGACAACCATGGTAGGGATGGTCATATGCATACTTGCCCAAAAGGGGACAACCATTGACCATCCCGTCCGAACTACAGTAGGGATGGCAAACTTGCAATAGCAGGCACTCCACAACCCATGCAGTAGTATAGCGCTCGCAATTATGAAATATAGAGTATGTTGGTGTACAAATCAAAACAACAAACGTGGGTGCATCATGGTGCATCAGGCCGGAGTCGATGGTTTGGTCAGGCCGGAGTCAAGAATCCCAGTGGAAAGACGTCTCTAAATAAGTCTCAAGCACGTCTTCAACTTGGATCACATTCAACTAACTGGCTAGATTTGGAAGCACGTCAAAGCTGCATTGACAATCATACAGTACGTTCATATACGTTCCAACTAGCAGCACAACAGACTCACCGTCCTTTGATTCCACCTCTCCACACCTCCGACTCACCGTCCTGTCGTCCACCGTTCTCCTCACCCACCTCGGCACGTGAAGGTTCGATCCCAAGCTGGGCCGTAGACTCTACACCGAACATGGGAGAACATGGGAAAACATGGGAGGTCGACGTTTGATGTGGTTTCTGATTGCGTTTTCTTCCCTCATTTTGCGGGTTTCTTCCTCAAGTCATCCAAACTAGTCTTCCAAGTGCATCTTGAACAAGTAGATGATCCCAACATCGATCGTACCCAAGACTCCATGTGCACTTGGAGACTCCAGAACTGAGCCGGGCGTTGATCCCAACAGGTTGAGCGGGTTTCATCGTCAACATAGCGGGTGTCCCATCTTCAAAGCGAGTTGCCCACGCTTCTTCTCGAATCTTAGCCGCTTCCTGTACTCTCGCTCTGGCCCCACTGTGCCTCGGCTACCAAACACGAGCGACACCAAAACACGACGTGACGGGCTCCCCAGCCGTCTAGCCGTGCTTTCCGGGAGCAGCGGCGAGAACACGGTTCCACAGCGAGCGCAGGCAAGTTCCACACTCATAGACTCATACACTCATAGACTCATAAGGTCTCATACACTCATAGTCCCACCACTCATAGACTCATATTCACACTCATATCTTAGCCCATCGATATTAAGGCCCTTGATGTGCCTCATATTGCACCCTGACCTGGACATCGCAGCTGCGGTGCAACGAAGAAATGACCTTTGGGGTGCAACGAAACTTCGATGGGGACCCTCCAAGAGCATTCCTTGGAGACTGAAAAGGTGAGGTGCGAGTTGTGATACGTGGTCTGCTGAAGTGTGAAGTGTGAATTTCAATGTATAAGATTCCTCAGTGTTCCACGCAAACGGCCAGCAAAAAGCAGCGCAAACAGCAATAACGACCGCAAATTCGCGCAACACGCATGCAAATAACACATGAACGACCACACACAAATCCACATGCTTTTGTTTGGCAAAACAAACAAAATGACCATGACCCTTAAACATCATAGACAACCATAAACTTTTGGTAGTTGGAAGGTCCCGGTCCAGGTATATAATATGTTGATATATGTTGTAGTTTGTGACGCAGCTACGCTGAGTTTGTTTTAAATGCTTTGACTTGATATCTGATGTGCGGTTGGATGTGGTGATGCATCACGACGACGCAACATGTAGTGGCTTCGCTTCGTGATGTGAACGATGTGACGTGTAGATCATGTAGGATGTTGTTTCACATGAGAAAAAGTACACATCACAACATTGCATGGCATCTCCGTTTCATGCGGTGCTTCGACATCTAGCATCTTGTGGTTAAGAAGCTACTAGTAACAAGTGCATCGCTACTAGTAACAAGGGCATGACTACTGGTAGCAAGAAGCTACTAGTAGCTCCTGGCATTCCTACTAGGAACAAGAAGCTACTAGTAACATTGAATTCATGTCGGTTTTCTGTGAGTTGCGATTGTCAGCGTGGCCCCATGTCGCACACGCACTTTTCGACCAGGGTCAGGGTGCGACCAGGGTGCGAGCAGCAGGTCCGCTGTTCAGTGGAAGGAATGAAGAAAAAGAGACAGAAATAGACCGTAAGATGACATAAGTAGACGGTCGACTGTTGATGAAGATGAACCCCCCTACCTGGATGGTCAGACCAAGACCCCAAGACCCCTATTTCAAGACCCCGGGTCGACTGGACAGAGCCTCGGTCACGTCTCCTCGTTCGTCACCCCGGCGCCTCGTCGGGGGAACTCCTCCAAGTCCCGTTCGACGAACGTCTCGTCGTCCCACCTCGGGCGACGAACGCCGCGACGAGCCGTGGCGACGCGAGATGGAGCGGCAGATGGGTCGACCGGTGGGGCAATCAATCCAAAGAAAGGCCAGTGCATGTGTAGATCTCTGTATGTGTAGGTCTGAATACAAGAACGTAGGTCTGAAAGAAAAAAACACGGGGCCCAACCTTACACCTCTCCAGCACCAGAAAAAACAAGATTCCTTCTTGCCAGTTTAGAGAACCCATGAGAACCCTAATTATAATATCCTATAATATAAGTACTTGTCCATTCTTATCAATTTGTCTTCATCTTCTGAGACTGTGCAACCCAGGGACGTGGCCATCCACCAAATGACCAGCAAACGAAACGCTCCATCTTTTCGCTACCCTGAAAACCTGTGGTGGTGCAGGTGTCCCTCTTCACCAATCTCCTACATTCCAAGGAGTCAATAGGTACCAGTTATTTAAGAGGGATGTTACCAATCAATACCAAGTAATATGCAAACATCATGCAAAGCCCCCTCATGCAAACCTCTGCAAAACATCCCGGCCAACGGCCCCTGCAGGGGTGGGGCCGTTGGCCGGGTCTGGGTCAGTGGGATCTCCATCTGTGCGGGAACAGCGAGCCTCACCACGCAGTTTGGGGGAGGGCCCTCCCAAGGGCGGAGTGAAGATGGTGGTTTCGGAAAACGGCAGGACACGCTCGCTCTGTGTCAATCGACGGTGGTAGGGATGATCGTGCTCCCACGGTCAGGAGGGATTGGGAGGACTAGTGCTCCATCCCGTGCTGGGATTTGGGTGGCAAACCTCCACGGAGGGGGGGCTGGTGACCCGTACGGTTGAGACACCAAAAAAGAGCTGTTCGACGGATCGGGAGTCTAAAAACCCAGATTCCAAAATATACAGCTCCCCTGGAGGCCCACATGTCGTTTTTGCGGAAGTGACGCAACGGCAACGTCTTGGCACATGTCGTCCGTGTTTGACTAAAAAATTGTATAGACAAGTGATCTTGGGAACACATCTCACACGTGCTGCACACGACGACATCAAGCTCAGCTGGCGGACGCTGCATACATCAGCAAATCAAGCAATCCTTTCAAGCAGGTATGCCCGGCGAGAGCACCAGATCGAATGTTTGCCAAGGCAGTTGCTGGGAAGTGCCTCCAAATCCAAAGTAGGCACAACCTCAGATTCTGATGAAATATAACAATCTGTGCAAGTTACTTTATTTCTTAGGTCGTCTCCCTCGTTGGCTTAATTTCTTGGCCGCATTTAGTGTCCTCGTCCGCAAATGCGGGTCATCAAATTAGGGCTGTCCCTCGTTAATTCACGAAAGGAAATTAATACAACAGTATCATTTGGATTGCTGAAATGGTGAAAAAAACTTTTCCCGATGGAAAAAGTTATTCCTGCCCATACCTCGTCAGCTAGCGATCCGCACAGGTTCCGGTTGGGGCACAGGTTTCCATGTGCCTTCTCGTCTTTTGGTCCAAAAGTGAAGATGCCTTTGGCCCTGGGAAATGGAAAAAAAACTTTCTGGGCCTTGAACAGTTTATTATTCCATTCAAACACTTTGACGTTCAGAGCCAAGCAAAG